TTAATCGAGAAAGAAGACGGAAGGGGCTATGCTTTTTTTTAGATTAATAATCAACTTTAGAACAGTGTTCTAAAAAGCTTAAAAAAGCGGCGCCTAGGCGGACCAAAGCCCAAGGCGTAACCTAAACGCCCCGCACCACCTATATGCGTGAAGAAAGGCGGCCCACAAAGGTCGGTCCATAAATTTTACTATAAGGCCCCAGACAGCCGTCCACATGAATGAGGACTACCGCCTGTTAAAACCTGCGAGAAGAGCTCGTATTTATAACTGTGTTGGAATGACAAATCTCAACTTTAACCGGTGTGGGAATAAGTAGTAGCTCGCTACTTCACCGTGCAACACTGCAGCAGACTTGCAAGTTGGAACAATCGGATGTTGCAATCACAATTGCTAACCAAACTTGCTCAAATTAGAACAATTGCAATCTAGTCTTTTGATCATCAACATTATTGTTATTAAATTATTACTTTAGAATGTGAAAAATTGTAACTTATTATTCAATTTTTACATTTAAGTGATATGACTTGATAATACAATAACATTAGTAATATTTTTATGAATAAGTTTTATTTGGGTAATATTTTTGAAGAAACCTCTTATTATCATTATTATTACTATTATTGTTAGTTGTTATAATTAATACTACAAATATTTTTGTTATTCAACTAATTTTTCAGCCTTTGTACCTATATGAATATTTCACTATATCTATTATTTTGTGAATTTTAAAAATATTTGTACTTAATTTGTGTAGGGAAATTCAATATATGATATTTTTGTATGATATTATAACATATCACATTTATATAATTACTGATACCTCTAGAAAATTTAAATAAAGAGTAAAAATTGCAAACGCCTTTCCGCGCCTAATTCCCGCCTAAGCCCGCCTAAGCTCCAAAGGCTTAAGGCTTGGACGTGCCGCCTCGGCACGCCTTACGCCTTTTAGAACATTGCTTTAGAAACGTAATAAACAATCACTTTCATAAATATTGTGTATATTGCTTAATGAAATGAAAAGAACAAGTCAGAAATGGGTGAATGCCGTTTGGGCGGTTTAGCTTTTTATTTTAACCGAGATAGACGGCATCAGGGCATCTAAACAAGCGGTACAACAACTAAAAGATAGGGTACAATTACAATATGCTTAAGTGTTACACCAACACAATTTCTATACCCAAAATGCCCTTACCTTCATTGGTGTTTATAAGATTTTATTAGACATACACACTCATAGAGAAATCATCATGTCAGGCCGGCCTGACGGGCTGCCCCGTCCGGACGAGCCCGTTTGGGCACCTTCCCGGTGGAATTTTTTGATGAAATTTTTTGAGCATGTTCCTCATCAAGTCTAGTTTGTCCATACCAAATTTCAGCTCAAAATTCGATAGGGAAGATCGTCAAATGATTTTTGCAAGTTAACTGGTCCGGAAAATACATATTCTGGACCAGTTAACTTGCAAAAATTATTTTACGACTTTGCCGATCGAATTTTGAGCTGAAATTTGGTATGGACAAACTAGACTTGATGAGGAACTTGCTCAAAAAATTTCATCAAAAAATTCCACCTGGAAGGTGCCCAAACGGGCTCGGCCGGACGGAGCAGCCCGTCAGGCCGGTCTGATGAGAAGAGCTCTCCACACTCATATATATACAGATATACTATAGTTAGATAAATCAGAGCATACTATCCCACCTAGGGCTGTTAACAAACCGAGCTTTTATCGAACTATTCGAGCTCGAGCTCGGTTTCGAACCTAACGAGCCGAGCTTAACGAGCTTTCGAACTCGAACCCGAACTGAGTTTTAAGTTCGAAAAGTTAATCGAGCCGAGCTCGAACATAGTAGTATTCGGCTCGGTTCGAACTCGAGCCTATCGAACACCCTAAAATTTTAAATATAATTTATATATATTTTAAAATTTAAATATAATTAGTATGAATTTATGAATTTAAATATGATTATTAACGAACTGAATACTTGTCGAATCATTCGAGCACGAGCCTATTAACGAGCATCGTCTAAAATTTTAAATCCAGGCATATTTATCGAGCTTATCGAGCGCTCGGTTCGAACAACGAACGTCTATCGAGCCGAACACGAGCCTCATTTGTAAAGCTCGCCGAGCTTCGAGCTCGAACACGAACACCCCTAATTCCTTAACGAGCCAAATTCGAGCTTTGGGTGTTCGGGCTCGGCTCGGCTCGTTAACACCCCTAATCCCACCCACTCAGATAAAGGGAGTGTTTGCAATTGCTTCCACTTTAAAAAATGATTTTTTAAAGTGATTTTGGGAAAAGTGATTAATAGTAAAAGTTGGTAGTGTTTGATAAAAAAGTGATTCTGAAAAAGTAAAAGTTGGTAGCGTTTGGTAAAATAAGTACTTTTTGTGTAATAGAAAAAGTGAGAAGCAGTTTAAAGCACCATTCTACCTGCTTCCAGCTTTTAACTTTTAAGTGATTAATTTAAGCAGGAAAACACTTTTTTCAGCTTTTTTTAAGCCAAAAGCTGAAAATCGCTTTTTTAGGGAGTGTTTGCAATTGCTTCAACTTTAAAGAAGTGATTTTTTAAAGTGATTTTGGGAAAAGTGATTAATAGTAAAAGTTGGTAGTGTTTGAGGAAAAAGTGATTCTGAAAAAGTAAAAGTTGGTAGTGTTTGGTAAAAGAAGTACTTTTTGTGTAATAGAAAAAGTGAAAAGCAGTTTAAAGCACCCTTCCACCTGCTTCCAGCTTTTAGCTTTTAAGTGATTAATTTAAGCAGAAGTTGTCATTTGAAAACACTCTTTTTAACTTTTTTAAGCCAAAAGCTGAAAAGCACTTTTTTTTTAATCAAATGCAAACACTCCCTTAAGCAACCCCAAACACTCCCAAAGTCGAAGCATGATTTCATCATCTCTTCCAAAATTAAATTCCACAAATTCAATTTTCAGGCACAAAAACATCTGAAAAAATCAAGTCGATCAACTAAAATAAAGAAACTACAAGCGTACCTCTTGGCTCTTGCAAGATGGAGTGCAGGGCAACGCAATACACAAGATAGGTTGTGATATGCTGGACGATTTTGTGATGCTCGGTATTAATTAATGAATGTAAACTAGTTTGCTAGCCTCCCCCACGTAAAGTATTTTACGTGATACATTGTAAAATGTTTTTAAAAAAGTATCATACAGTTTGTATTAAATAATCAAAACAAACGGCGTAAAATATTTACTCCCCTCCACTTTGCGTGCAAAGTGTTTACTTTACATTATAACAAACGGGCCCTAAACTTGCATATGTAATATATATGTATATATATATATCTCCAAAACTTTATATAAAAAGTTATTTTCACGTCATGATTGTATGTTTTTTTACAAATACAAATTTATTTAAATAAATACATAATTTAAAATACTCTAAACTTTCTTAAATGCCGTTAGTATTTTAAAATATGAAACATTTCTCTTTTTTCCTGCACCTAAAGAAACCTTTTGATTTCCGAGGAACAATCTACCCAGAAATTGCTCATAGAGAAAATAAGAATTAGTATTCCAGAGTCCTTTTTATGGAAGATGGAAATCTTTTCCAAAAATTTTAAGGAGCCCCATATGACTTCCTTATGGAGTCATATGAGTATTGTGGCACCATCATCACCATTCATTTATTTAGTGGAGGACCCCACAAAATAAATGAATGGTGATTGTGGTGCCACAATACCCCATATGACTCCATAAGGGAGTCATATGGTGCCACAATACCCCATAAATCTACTCAATCTTTTCTTACAATAGAAGAATCAGAAGCTAGAGTTAGGTCGAACATTAAAGAAGCAAAATCTATTTGCTTTATAAAAACGAATATCAGTGAACTTTGAAATAGATTCTTCAGATGAAACCCATTACCCTTTTCATCAAAATATTTTGGACTAGTAAACAATGCATCAATCCTCCCTTTTGCTATATTATTAAACAAAAGGGGTGATCTCTTTGTTTCATTGATCTCAAAGTTCGACGTACAAGACTCTTCTGACAAAAAGGGGTATAATTTTTCTAAATAGATACTAGTGTTGAGTTTAATCCAACACGATATAGTAAATATATGTATGAACACTCAGTTTTTACGTGGAAACCCGAAAGGGAGAAAACCACGGGACTTTTTAGGCTAATGTCCAAGCCCTCTCATTCTCATTAGTCTCTCCTCACCATTACATAGTACAAGTATTGAAGCTCCCATTAATGGAGTTCTAAGCTATTCTAGTGAGGAGGAAGAAGAAAAGGATCCATAATATGGAGGCTAAGCTCCCTATTTATAGACAAAGGGGAAAGGGTGCTCTCCACCCTAATGGGCCAAACGGGCCAATATCGGGCCTAATGGGCCGAAATGGGCCTAGCTGCTCGGGCTCCGTACTGGATAATGTCTTAGGCTCCTGAACAGTAATAGGCCGAGATAATATATCCCAACAACTAGTAATTTTAAACCCTATTGATTCCAACAACTGATTATAAAGTTGACCGTCGACCCTTCGCATCTGTGAAATACATAATATTACATCTGATATAATTTAATTTTAATTGTATCCTCATAAATGTTTCGTGTGTTTTACCATAAAATATATTTGTGAAAAAACATATGATCATGGTGCTAATATAACTTTTTATATACAATTTGAGATAAATATATATATTACATGTGTAAGTTTGGGACACATTTCATACTGTTTCAAAGTTTGAGATATTTAGATTAATTTTCCTTAGTAAAGAAAATGCGGTCAAAGTACAATATATGAGTAGTAATGTTAAATTCAACATTTTACATCTATTTATAAACTGAAGTATATTATAAGATAATTACAAAAACGTTAGATTTTCAATTCTAGTTGCGGATTTAAAACAGAAAGACAAATATTAAGAAAAAAATATTACCTGAAATTGGACTTAAAAAGTTTGAAAATACCAAAATAGAACTGTCACATTTTTATTCCCAAAATAGGACTAATTACTGCCATGTTTTGCCAGTACCAGACTTTAAACATGACAATATTTTCCAAACTTGACATTAATTACTCCTATTTTGGGAATAAAAACATGTCAGTCCTTTTTTGGAATTTTCAAAATGTTTTAGTCCTATTTCGGGAACTTTCCCATATTAGAAATTCTCATCTTTAGATGAGAACCCGTCCCGATGTATAACAAATTAACAACAAGAAGATGAACTCTTCTGTAATTCAAGGCCTGCCGGCGGACCTGCTTATACATAAACACGGTGTAACTTGAAATCTAACTTTTATTCCCTTCAGGAACGTATATAGGGGGTGTTTGGAACTGATTCTGCTTCTGCTTTTTTTTAAAAAGCAGAGCAGAAGCAGAAACTGAAGTGTTTTTTTTCTGAAAACTGATTCTGATTCTGCTTTAAAAAAAGAATCAAACCCAAACACCCCATAATTGCAATTCAATCTTTAATGATAAAGCTGAGAATTGGATCGCCTCAAAGTTGGGACAACAGTTAAAGGAATCTTTTTCTTGGTGACTCCCCCGAACCCATCCGACAAATCCAGCTTTTCCCCTTCAGGAAGCCGCCAGTTGAAGGAATACAACAACATTTTCTCAGCCAGGGGAATCCCAGCACAGATTCTTCTTCCCGATCCAAACGGGAGAAACCGGTAATCATTCCCTGTGTAATCCAATCCCGGACACAGGAACCTCTCAGGCTTGAACTGCAGCGGATTGTCCCAAAGCTGAGGGTCTCTGTGTAATGCATATGTATTCAGAAAGACCTTAGTGCCCTTTGGGATTGTGTAATCGCCCACTTGTGAATTTGCGGTCGGAGACCTGGGGATGAGGAAAGTTTCCCTCACGACGACATCCAAATAGGTGAGCTTAGGTAAATGGAGTTCTTCCACAATAGAGTTCATTCCGATGACCTGCTCCAATTCATTCTGGACCTGTTTCATGATTTCTGGATTGTCAAGAAGCATTGCCACGACCCACTCCACCGTGGTCGCTGTTGTGTCTGTCCCCCCTATTACAATATCCTAAAAACAATAGGCTAGGAGTAGCGGTGTGGATAACGGTTTGATTTAACCGAACCGCACCAAACCAAATCTAAACTGGACCGTATGCAATTTGGTTTGAGTTTGATACTATTTCATTCAAACCGTACTAAACCAAATCGAACCGAAACCGATAAAAACCGAACCGAACTAAAGAAACTCAAAAAAGCTTTCATATATTATTAAAGTTGGTGATTTGATTTGGTTTGGTAAACATTTGCTTAAACCGAATGATTTGGTACTTTGGTTTGATTTAAAACGGAAAAAGTGTAAACCGAACAGAACACCGAAAAACATATTTGTATTTATCTTCACTCTTCAGATATAAATAAATAACTTAGGCATGAAAATACATATTTAAGCATATACTCGTATCATTTTAACTTTTACACATTTCATACATTCATTATGACAAAGTTAGGTAATACGACATATTTGTATTTATTATGTTTGGCGATAGCAATAACAAATTGCATTCGTATTTTTACATGATTCATTTGAATAAATTTGAGAACATTACAACATTTGTACCACCAACTCTTTTAGGTTTTTTGAATATTGTATGTGATATTATAAATGCTAATCAACTATCTTATTTTTTGTAAGAAGTAAATTTTTGTAGTGACAAAAAAGATGTTAGAAGTTTTAATTTATAATATTTTATTATTTATTTTTCTATCTTTTATTTCCTTTTACATTTTATTTAAATAATCAATAAATTAAAAAAAGATGAGATGGACTACTACTTTCATTTTCTAATTCTAAAATATAGAACTTGATCAAATAAAACAATAAACATAAGCAAACGAATCAAATCAAACTAAATTAAACATAATATTTTTTACTTTGGTAAACCGAACCGGAACCGAACCGAAACCAAACCGAAACACAAATGGTTTTAGTTTGGTACAAATTCTCCCAACCCGAATAAATCGAAACCGAAACGAAACTGAAGAAAACCGAACCATAAACCGAATTGCCCACCCCTAACTAGGAGATAGGAAATGAATTTCAAACTTGGAAGTTCATTAAGGCATGAAAGAGTATATAGTTCCTCTTCATTCTTGGATAACTGAGACAATATGAATTTTACACTATTCATACATCCTACTTTGACCATGGGTTTCTACTAATACATGCATACTACCTCTATCCCGGAAAATTTGCCATATTGATTTTTCTCGGTCAAAGTTGACAAACTTTGAACAATGATTTTAAATATTATATTTATATATACTTTATAAATTTTATACTTTTATGAAAATATTTTGAATAAGCTAAGGAATATTTTGATATAATTTTCATTTTCAAAATAATTTCATTTACAAAAATATCTTTGGTCAAAGTTGATTCCTATCGTCAAAGAAAAGTCAATTTTATGAATCTTTTTGGGACGGAGGGGGTGTATATATAATCAAATTATTATGTATAAAAATTATTAAATTTCTCTTAATATGTACCTCCAAAATATTAAATTGTTATAATGTTTATGAATACATAATTAAATATAGTTATAATTAAAGTTGTGCGTTGACAAACGTGAAACGGTGAAAGTCAAACTGTTGCAATTAAAAAAAGAAGGTATGTAGTGTAATATAACCATTTGACCTTGTGTGTTAAGTGTTAAGTGTTAACTATATTGCCTTCTTCATCCCAATATGATGAAAAAATGATAATGATTGATGTTTGTACACATCATGGTGTGCACATTTTATACACATTTTCATGCAAATAATCTGTCTCTCCAATTAACACGTAAAAAACACGTTTGTATAAACAAAAACAGATATATTATCCATTTCGAAAGTTAATGAGAAAACTGTCAAAATGATCATCCTAATATATCAATTGTTGTTAATCTCCCAATTTAAAAGACACCTAACTAAGTCCATGAACTATACAAAACACTGAAATATATTATTTAACCCGTTAAATCCCGATTAACCGGTTACCATGATGATTTTTGTTCATATCTGATCTCATCCTATCACAATTAATATTATAATACTGATCTTTGTGTAATATTATACAACTATTAATTATTTTAATACTTTTTTATAACATTTATGTATGTATTAATTACATTGTTACTTATTTTAACATTATTAGTCATTACTGATCGATGGAAAAAGAATTCCTAAAGAATAATTTTTTAATAATGTTAACAAATGTTGGAAGAATTAATAAAAATTATATTGCTATTGATTTATATCTAAGAGTACTCTTCCGGTCAGGTATACCTGACCGGAGCCCCGTCCGGCCTCCTCCATTTGGGGGCCTTCCCGGTGGTTTTTTTATGCTCAAATTTTATATGTAGGTTCCTCATCAAGTCTAGTTCATCCACACCAAATTTCAGCCAAATATTCAATCGGGAAGGTTGTCAAATGATTTTTTCAAGTTAACTGGTCCGGAAAATACATATTCTGGACCAGTTAACTTGCAAAAATCATTTGACGACCTTCCCGATTGAATTTTTGGCTGAAATTTGGTATGGATGAACTAGACTTGATGAGGAACCTACACAAAAAATTTGAGCAAAAAATACCACCGGGAAGGCCCCCAAATGGAGGAGGCCGGACGGGGGGAGTGGTCCGGCCTGGCCGGACCTGAATATTGGTCTTCTATCTAACTATAAAGAGAACATATAATGTAATTAAAAATAAATACATAAATAAATAATTTAATTTAAAAATAAGACTTTCAACTTTAAAAAAATCTCATTACTATAAAGAAGTTTTAACTGAATTGCAAGTCTTCCAAATACATTGGCTTTTGAATTTAACACGCACTTGATGCTTATAGAGTAAATAAATATTATTGTGTTAATAATTTTTTAATATCATAGATGAAAATATATTTTCTTTTACTTTCATATTTTAACAACATTGATGTGCTCGAGATCTATGAATATTATAAAGACATTAACAATTTTGAAAATGTTGTACTCTATAAAATTAATTTAAATGTGCTCTAAAATCTTTTCGTAATTTAAAAAAAAATCACGGTTTTCCCGCTCTTACAGGTAGGTATGGTCATATGTAGGCCTGTCAATGGGTCGGATCTAGACCGGGCCCGATCCGAGTCTAGTACCATATTCGAGAGTATGAGTCTAAATTTAGAACTGTTTATCGGATCCGGATTTGAACCCGTTACATGATAGAGAAAATGAGTTGGATATGAATTTTTAAGCTCCGGCCCGTTTTGGACCTGACCCGTGATGATATAAATATAGTTATAATTTTACACACACAATATATATACATATAAAGAGAAATCATCTCATCAGGCCGGCCTGACGGGCTGCCCCGTCCGGCCGAGCCCGTTTGGGCACCTTCCCGGTGGAATTTTTTGATGAAATTTTTTGAGCATGTTCCTCATCAAGTCTAGTTTGTCCATGCCAAATTTCAGCTCAAAATTCGACCGGGAAGGTCGTCAAATGATTTTTGCAAGTTAACTGGTCCGGAATATGTATTTTCCGGACCAGTTAACTTGCAAAAATCATTTGACGACCTTCCCGATCGAATTTTGAGCTGAAATTTGGCATGGACAAACTAGACTTGATGAGGAACATGCTCAAAAAATTTCATCAAAAAATTCCACCGGGAAGGTGCCCAAACGGGCTCGGCCGGACGGGGCAGCCCGTCAGGCCGTCTGATGAGAAGAGCTCTCTACATATAAATATCTAAACATAAATAAAGAAAAATAATCTAATATTAAAAATGTTTTAATAATAGTGCCCAGAGTTCATGGACAATCACTCGATATGAAAATTTAAGAAAGCTAAGCTTATCTATGGACACAAATAGATTTGGAGCCTTCTTTCGTTTGGTGATATTTGATTATAGGGGTAGAAATACGATTATTATACCCGAGGGTAGAAATGGATTGGGTTTTCATCTGTTTAGTTCTACTTTACAAAGTCAAGTTGATTTGTTACAAAAGGAGAAGAAAGAGGTTTTGGAAACTGATTTGATTGATCATGGGGTAGTTTGTGCCGATTCTTTAAATGAGGATTCAGGGACCATAACTTTGGGATCAATCTCTTCCAGGCTTTTTCAGCAAGACTTGCTTTTATACGATGATTCTTCTTCAGAGAAAATTCATAAGGATATAGAGCTTTTTATTTGCCAAGACCATAATACGGAGGAATCACAGAGAACTATTGGGGAAATCGTTGCGGAAGATGTGGGTGAGATTTTTGAGGAGATGATTTTGGATGGTGTTAAAATCGAAGAGAATGACAAGGCAACAAGGGAGAATGTCAATAATGTTGAGGAAGTCATACAAGAAACACCGATTCAAGTCTCGTTCCCTAAGAAAAAAGCAATTAAGGGCTGGTCTCAATTGTATTTTGATGTTGCTGCAGATGAGGGGCCTTCGGGATATGACTCAGATCAAAAGTTGCTTGCTCGGCTAAGTGATCCTAATTATAAAACGGCTACTCAACTTGAATTTAGACGAAGCGCTCGACTTCAAGCTAAAAATGCGATTAAGGGTTAGACTTGGAACTTTATGTTTGCTTCTTCATAGGGAATGGTGGTTTCGACTTCTATATTAAGGGCTAATCTCTTTGGTAATGTTGAAGACTTTGGTGATCGGTTTCTATCTTCAAGAGGATGAGGGCTTTTATTCTTTTGGTGTTGATCATTAGCGTGTTAGTTCAATAACTTTATGTTGTTTCTTTAAACTTTTATCTTCATTAGCGGTTGTATTTTCTTCTATATTTTAATAAAACTTTTTTTTTTTGAAAAAAAAACCCGACTTGGTAATAGTGCACTTAGTAAGTGGTTGACCCACTATAATGGGGTTTTCCAGGCCTACCTCCACCGTCCAGAATGTTTGCTCAGATGCTGTGAAGCTTCTGTCCAAAAATCACGACGATCCAACGGTTCAATCTTCGGGAAACGGAACTTTTCCGCTGCTGCCTGCTGGAAAAACGAGATGAGCATTTCAGCTCATGTTTTGTGACTTGTTTTCTCTATCCACCGCTCTCTTGCTGTCCTTGAATAATAGATAGATAGCAGACCCTAAACCCTGTTTTTAATTTAGCTCACATAATAGAAAGTCAAAAAAAGACTTTCAATGGGATTAAAGTTGGGCTTTCCTCATGGGTAAAAAACAAAGAAAGAACCCAACAAATCTCCCCCTTTTTGACTTATGAGGAAGAGTTCGCCATACCGGCGATGGAGCACCATACCTTCAACTTTTCCCTTGCTAGAACCTTCGTCAACATATCGGCACCATTATCATCGGTATGAACTTTATCAAGTTCAAACAGTTTGTCTTCAAGTGCATCTCTAATCCAATGATACCTCACATCAATATGTTTGGTTCGTTTGTGAAACATATAATTTTTGGCAAGGTGAAGGTACTTTGATTATCACAAAGAACCACGTAGCGC